TGTGTCAATCGTATAAATGATTTTATCTAGGTTTAATAAAAAAAAATAGATGATCATTTTTTAAGGACATTTTTTTTAATTGTATGAGTTGCACTACTCTAGACGAAATATATATGTTTGTGAGAACAAAGTTTTATTTTAAAAAATGTGCACGAACAACCAATCATGCACTTAAATAATTGTGCAAAGATACGAAAGTAACAACAATGCTGAATTGGCAGAATTGCTCATAGCATTACTTTATTTTAAATATTTTTTAAATAAATGCTAAGGAGTGATTTTAAATTAATTGTTAAGGAACTAAAAATAAAAGATATTCATTTTTCTAGAAAATTTTAAGACATAAAATACTGTATTTTTTTTATTAATTTTCCAATTCTTTTCGAAACATTTGACATTAGTTAAAGGGTTCGCTTTTTCTATAGTCAATGTAGATAACTTATCTACATTAAACTCAAAACGACGTCGTTTTGAGGCGAAAATCAAGGTATTTTTATAATTATAATTTATTTTAAGGATATAATAGTCTTTTTATTGTAATTTTTTAAATTTTTAACCCAAAACAACATCATTTTGAGAGCAAACTCACTTTAGAAATATTAAACCTTAGTTAAAACTTAAAAGGACCCTTTCTTTTATGAGGATGGTTTTGTTTATTTACTTTATTCTTCATCTTTATTTCAACGCATGTTACTTTATACTTTACCATTTGAATAATAAATTGGTACAACTTACATAAAAAATTAACGGTGAGGTTTTTTTTTCTTAAATAAGTACACACCTTCATGTGATTTTCCCTTGTTTTGGTTTATGTGCAAAAACATAATCGTGTCTTTCTAACTAATAATCCGTTGTGTCAAAGAGTTAGGTGGTGTTTAGTTGAAGATTTCTTAAAATTTACCTATGCAAATCAAATTGTCAAAGTAAGAAAGCAATATTTGGTAGATGATTTTACAAAATTTCCCTAGGTATTGTATTTGCATAGCATTCGTTATTTGTTCATAGAAAGCAAGGCAAAGTTACTATTTAGAAAGACAACTTGAGGGCGGTATTTTGCAGTTAGCTAGCTAAATGGCAAAAGAGCAACCCACTAGTAGACTTAAATACCCTCATCTAAAGTGCCAAGCTTTCACTTTTTTTATGAGGTTATATTTGTAATTTGAAGTTATTGCCCCATCTATATTTTACCTCAAACCAAACATAGACTTTATAAATCTTACCTAATTTGGCCAGTAAAATTTTTTCTAACCAAACAACTTTTTTTACATTTTCCTACCAAACTCACTTTTCAACCATTTTCCTATAAATTACATTTCTCTAACGAGGTCATGTTTGGTTCCAAGCTTTTCAACATTTTCCTATGCAAATGAAGTAGTGTTTTTAGAAAGTCAATGTTTGGTTCAACGGATTGTGACAAAATGTCCATCCATCCCATTTACATGGCTTTTTCAACTTTGCCTTCGAAAGATTGGTATCGGCACTGTTTAGAAAGCTCTTTTGAGGATGGTTTTTTTTAAAAACCCGGGTAGAGCACTGTTGGCAAATTTTTTCACCCCCATTATACCCTCGACAATGCTTGGATCACGCTTCTCATCATCGCCGACATCCAATCAATCTTAGTTGTTACTGCAAACAAAACACACACACAGAGATAGTGATGGTGATGATACTGAGTGAGAGAAAGAAGAAACTGGGATCGTAGATGGGATCGTTTGCTTCTCAAACAAGCTGAGATCGACATTTCAAAATGTAAAGATTCCACCTTTTCAGCGATTCAAACAAAAAAAATTAGATTAATAGCAAGGAAAAACGATTTTGAGCAATTCAAAAACAAAAACAAAAACAAATTAAAAGCAAGGAGAAAGATTTTCAGCAATTCAAACAAAAAAAAAAAAAATCAGATTTTCAACTATCCCACCACATCGTCGACTAGAAGTTGCGAGCATTCCTCTGCAGATTTGCTTCTCCGAACCAAGGCTATGTCCCATCGATGCCTGGTCCGCTACACCGCCTACACAGTTTGCTTCTCCGAACTCATAGGATAAGTTGAGAGAGAGGAAGATCAAATACAAGGTCACGGACACCTACATCTAGCATCTTTTATTTTATTTTTTTACATATTCCAATACAAATTTTTCACTCCAATATCATTATTTTTCTTTTATTTGAATTAGCAGAGTAGTTTATTTGTATAATTAATAAATAATAATAATTAATTTCTTCTTTATAATTTGATATTTTTAGTTAAATGATGATTTGATTTAATGGTTATTGAATATATTTGAATTAATTTGGATTAATGGTTATTGTATATTTAAAAAATAAGGGTATTTTTGTCATAACATATTTTTTCCCATCTATATTTTACCAAAACCCAAATATAGACTTTACAAAAGTTACCTAATTTTCTCGGTAAATTTTTTTCCTACCAAACAACTTTTTTTACATTTTCCTATCAATCCCACTTTCCAATCATTTTCCCACTAATCTTATTTCCCTATTATTCATAAAAAAAATTTCTTCAACCAAACGCGCAAGTGTTTTATGTGTTTGGATTCATCCTCCCTGGCATAGCAGGCTAATTATCGAATTACAATACCTTTTTTATAATACGATTCATATTTTATTTTTAGGGTTTTGTTTTTGGCAAATGTAGTTGTGCTATCGTTCTAAATTTTTTGTTGTTGTAGTAACAGATAAAATGTAAGAATACGCATGCAGATTTTGACATTTTTTTTAAATGCCAGGATTCATATACGAATCCTAATATAAATGTGTTTGTTATAAACTTTTTCATCTGCAATAACAAGAGAAATTGTACCCTTTGTTTTTAGTTAGATATATTTTTAACATTTTATTTATAATTTAATATTTTATGGCTTTTGTTATAGATATATATCATATCCTAATTACCTACCTAAGAATCATCAAGGATAAATACTCAATTATCCTAACAATATTAAACAACATCTTAACATAAAGGAAACTGAATCCTACTAAAACTGAAAAATCTACACAAGCCCAAGAGGTAACCCTTATAAATAAGAGGTTAAAGATCTCAGGTACACACTTTTTTATCTATTTACTATTACTGTCAACACTTTGTACACACCCATGATGTCTTGACTATAAGCCTATTGTTTGTGCACAGTGATTGAAGATAGAGTTGGCTATAAGTCAATCTAGATACCTACTTTTAAGGTATCTTCGAGAGCATACCATACGATATAACAATACGGTCTTATAGGACCTAGCAACTTTAATGTTTCTATCGTGAATGTAGATAAGTTATTTACATTTATTTCCAAAATGACATCGTTTTAGGTTGAAAAATTTAAAAATTATAATGAAAAAGATTATTATATCCCTAAAATAAATTATAATTACAAAAATACCTTGACTTTCGCCTTAAAATGACGCCCTTTTGGACTTAATGTAGATAATTTATCTATATTGATTGTAGAAAAAGTAAACCTATATTTTATATAATAAAAGGGAAAAATGTTTATCCTTCTAAATGACACAACTTATATCCTTTCACTCTCACAAAGAAGTAGGACCCACACCTTTATTTTTTTTTGTCAACTCTCTCTTCTCCTTTATCTATCTCTTTCTCTTTCTTAAAATTACACAACTTTACATCTTTTAAAATGACACACATTTTACCCATAATAAAAACAATTTTAGGAGATCAAGTGATATATGCCATAACTAAATGGATATAAATAATAAGTTTTAAATCATAAAAATAAAGTGTTACATTATATAAGCACATGCGAGGAAAGTATATACATATTTGAAGTTCTGATTTTGGTCTCTTATGTGAAAATAAGCTTATCAGTTATTACGGTGTTTGATAAGGATGAATTACAAAATACGATGACGGTTAATTCTTGTTCTGCAATTATTACTATAAAATTATTTAAATAAAACTGCAAATTAAAAAGTGGGCGATTTGAATGTTTAAAAAATAATAATATTTATCCCAAAATGGATAATGAGTATAAAGAAAGTTATTTAGAAAATTTCTAGGTCATAAAATTGATTTTAATGACAAAATCTATTTTTTGAGAAAAAAATCTTAAAGCATTAAGGAAATAATCCATTAAGTGAAAACAATCTTAAAAATTGACTTAGTATTTTCATTAAGTGAATGGTTTTTCTTAAAGCATATAGAAGGAGGGGTTAATATTTTTTATATTGTATGAGATAATTTTATCTTATATATATATATATAAAAGTGTATGAGACATTTTTTTTTTCTCTTTTTTCTTCACATAACGTCACATGGAGTTTATATATATTTTTATGTATGTGTAGGAGATAAAATTATTTTTTATAATATAAAAAATATTAATCCCGTAAAAAAAGTTAGCAAAAGAAAAAATCATGCATTTTGTATGGTGATTTTTTTTTGGTTGAGATTTTTCAAGATATTTCTTGATCGACGATCGAACATTAATCATTTTAAAACGTAGAGATTCATGAAATAGATTTTATCTTTATCAATAAAATATTTTTTATACATACGATCAGATCAATTGTACCGGGGTTTTGTTAGTTGTATGATGATTTGACCTTCACATACTTTCTTTTTAAAATAATCCAAAATGGTAACACAATTCGTAATATTATTGCTTTCTCTTTTAAATTTCCAGTTCATTGAACCAAGTTTATTTCTTTCGAATTTCTTAGCAAATGCACATGCTACCAATTATTATATTTAATGTTTTTTTTTTTTAAAGAGTTACAGGGGCAGTCCCTTCTTATCCTATAACAATTGGCAAATAATCTCTTTTCATGAAAAGAAGTGTAAAGGTTAAAAGAGTCACAGACAGGTCTTTGCCTCTGAAAAAGTAAAACATGCCTTTGACAGATTTAAGAAAACTCAGGGTCACTTTTGTCTATTCACCCTATCGCACCTGAAGATATACGCTAACTGATACAGTGAGAGTGGGAGAGAGAGAGAAAGAAAGAAAGGGAATGAAGGAAATGGGTAAGACTTAAGAGAGAGAAAATAGTGTGTTTGTGTGGCCACTCTGGAGACAGGAAAACCAACTAATTTTTTTTTTTTTAATTTGGTTTTTGGTTTTTGCTCTGTATATTCCTCACCATCGTCTTGTACTACTTCCAATGATTTCCCATTAACAAAAAGAAAAAAAAAAAAAAGAATTTTGATCTTACTCTGATCCCAAATTTTTTCAGTGTCTTCTTTCTGACAATGTTGGAACTTTTGCATTCTCAATTCTGCAACTGAGTACTGAGAGCAAAGGCAACCCCTTCTTACCTCTGTTGTTACTTGCTTGCTCTCTACCATGGCTTCAAAATCTAGGTAGGTCAAGCTTGGTGTTTTGTTTTGGATGTCTCTATTGCTGTAAGATCTGATTTGGGTTTCTTCAACTTCTTCTTTGCACTGCTTCACATTCTCTTTTTTTTTTTTTTTTCTATCTGGGTAATTAGTGTGAGATTTTCTGATTGATGGGTTTGATCTGCTGAATGAGGATTTTTTATTTTTTTTTTTAACCTAAATTTCCTAACTTGAAATTTATGTGTTTCCCCTCTGCTTCATCTGTTTAAATTTCGGTGCTTTTTTTGTTTTCTTGTTTGGTGTCTGCGTCAAATTTAAAGATGGAAACTTCACTTCATTTTCATTCTTGTTTTTTCTTATCATGCTTTTACAATAGTGATTGCATCTCTATCTGGCCTTAATTCTCACTTATGGGTCACAATTACCGTCACCCTTTTTCTTTCTCTTGGTGGGTTTTTCTGGTTTGATGAGTTTGGCTTGACAATGCTTCTGGATACTGAATTGGTGTGAAGAGTTACTCTCCTAAGGGCTTAGATCCATGAATATGGTTGGATACAAACATGGCATTTTGTTATTTTATAGTGTCTTGTCTCTTTTCTATTTCATTTAATGCTTTGTCGATATGGTATTGACATTGTGAATATGATAGATCCAATTTATCTGAAACTCCCAACAAAGCACCACCAGCTACTCCTAACAAAGCACAACCAGCAACTCACAACAAAGCATCACCTGCAACTCCAAGAGTTAGTAAACTCAGCAAAGGAGTGTCCAAATCAGAATCTGAGTCGCCATCACCTTTGCAAAATTCACGCCTTTCTGCTGAAAGATCTCCAAGATCTTTGAATTCAAAGTCCACTGCTGAGCGGAAATCACCAAGACCTACCTCCACCCCTCCTGAAGTAAGTTATAGTAAATGCATTTAGTGTCCCCACTTTCTATGAGATTGAGTCATGTTTGGCTCTATTACCAAATGGCTGCACTTGGACACTTGGACTGTTTTCTTCTTTTCCAATTCTGTTTTTGGATGAAGCATTTGAACTTTCTGAATGTCTCGAGTCTCTTGACAAGTGTAATTAAATAAGTAAACATCTGTGTTATCAAATAAATAAATAAAAAATAATAACTAAACATCTGAAATTTGTAACTATGTGTTAGTCAGTTAGTGTTATTTATTTGACATTTGTTTTCTTGGAATTTGAAATTTTAGATAATCCGTAGCTTCTTATCCGTTATTATGAGATGTCCAGAATTTGGTAATGAAAGCCAAAGATGTTTCCTTCATTATGCATGATAGTTGATACAGCAAAAATAAAAAAAATAAAAAAATCATTAGTCATGCTTTTTCTATGGTTATCTGTACTCTAATATGTGCTTATTGTGTTCCTTGATTTTTCAGAAACAACCCGCAAAAGCTGCGAAGGGTTCAGAATTGCAGACCCAGCTGAATCTTGCTCAAGAAGATCTAAAAAAAGCAAAGGAACAGCTGATTCAGACTGAGAAAGAGAAGGCAAAAGCAATTGGTGAGCTGAAAGAAGCACAGAAAGTGGCTGAGGAAGCAAATGAGAAGCTCAGGGAGGCATTGGTGGCTCAAAAGCGGGCTGAGGACAATTCTGAGATTGAGAAGTTCCGAGCTGTTGAGTTGGAACAGGCTGGAATTGAAGCTGCTCAGAAGAAGGAAGAAGAATGGCAGAAAGAGCTTGAAAGTGTGAGGAGCCAGCATGCTGTGGATGTGGCTGCTCTTCTCTCCACCACTCAGGAGCTTCAGCGGGTTAAGCAAGAAATTGCCATGACTTGTGATGCAAAGAACCAGGCACTGAGTCATGCTGATGATGCAACTAAAATTGCTGAGCTTCACGTGCAGAAGGCGGAGAATCTTTCAGCTGAACTGACACGGTTGAAGGCCTTACTAGATTCAAAGCAGGAAACAGAGGCTAGTGAAAACAAGGTTTTACTGAAGCAGAAGACAGAGATAGAAGCTCTTATGCAAGAACTTGAAAAGGCAAAGGGTTATGACGAAAAGTTGGCAGAGAAAGAGACTTATATTGAACAGCTTAATGTGGACCTAGAAGCTGCAAAGATGGCTGAATCTTATGCACATAGCCTGCTAGGGGAGTGGAAAAGAAAGTTTGATGAACTAGAAATGAGAGTTGAAGAAGCAAATAAGTTGGAGAGATCTGCATCAGTATCTTTGGAATCTGTGATGAAACAGCTTGAAGAAAACAATGATTTGTTGCATGATGCAGAATCTGAAGTTTCTAGTCTTAAAGAGAAGGTGGGATTGTTGGAAATGACAATTGGGAGACAAAGAGGAGATCTTGAGAGTTCAGAGCATCGTCTTCTTGTGGCTAAGGAAGAAAGTCTTGAAATGTCAAAGAAAGTTGAATCTCTCAAATCTGAACTGGAGAAAGTTAAGGAAGAGAGAGCTCAGGCTTTGAACAATGAAAAGCTTGCGGCTTCAAGTGTGCAGACCCTATTAGAAGAGAAAAACAAACTTATTAATGAATTGGAGAACTGTAGAGACGAAGAAGAAAAGAGCAAAAACGCAATGGAAAGCTTAGCTTCTGCATTACATGAAGTATCTGCAGAAGCTAGAGATGCCAAAGAAAAGCTATTAGCCAACCATGCTGAGCATGAAAACTATGAGACCCAGATTGAAGATTTGAAGTTGGTCTTAAAAGCTACTAATGAAAAATATGAGTCCATGCTTGATGATGCACGGCATGAGATTGATGTTCTTACATGTAGTGTTGAAAATTATAAGAATGACATTGAGAACTCCAAGGCAGAGTGGGAGCAGAGAGAACTTCATCTAGTCAACTGCTTAAAGAAAACTGAAGAAGAGAAATCGTCCCTGGGAAAGGAAATAAATAGGTTGACTTATTTACTCAAAGAAGCTGAGGAAGAAGCTAGTGCCAAGATGGAGGAAGAAGCTCAACTGAAGGAAAATCTGAAGGAAGTTGAGGCTGAAGCGATCCACCTTCAAGAAGCACTTAAAGAAGCACAGGCTGAGAGCATGAAATTGAAGGAGAGTTTATTGGATAAAGAAAATGAGTTTCAGAATATTTTTCAAGAAAATGAGGAACTCCGATCTAGAGAATCTGATTCTATTAAGAAGGTGGAGGAGTTATCTAAGTTGCTGGAAGAAGCTACAACCAGACACCAAACTGAGGAAAACGGGGATCTTACTGATAGTGAGAAGGACTACGATTTGCTTCCTAAAGTAGTTGAATTCTCTGAAGAGAATGGACATGGAGGAGAAGACGTATCCAAGGTAGAGCTTCCAGCAAATGAAGAGGGACTCGGACAAAGCTTAAATGAAGAAAGTATTCTCTTGAATGACAAGTCTGATAAAATTGAATCTCCCAAACCTGAGAGTATGAATGGAAAAATGAAGGAAGATGGGGGCAAAGAAAATGTTTCGGCAGCAGTTGAATTTAAAATGTGGGAGAGCTGCAAGATAGAGAAGAAGGAGTTCTCACCAGAGAGAGAACCGGAGCCTGAATCTTTTGAGGAGGAAGTTAACTCAAAGATAGAAGGCGGCGAGGGCTTTGACCAGATAAATGGAGCCTCTGTAACAGAGAACATTGATGACGGTGGGAGCTCACCATCAAAGCAACAAGTGAAAAAGAAGAAGAAGCCCTTGCTTGGCAAGTTCGGAAGCCTGCTCAAGAAAAAGGGTGGTAGCAACCACAAATAGAGAGCAATATTCTACTTTGGAAGGTATATTGAACATTACATTGTTTGCACGTATTTGCTTTATGATTTTTTTTTGCTTCTTGGAATAGCTCTTAATTAAAGAATGACGAGGTTTGTAATATTGTTTAGGATTCTTCTCTAATCACCTCTTTTGGGTTGCAGTTCTTCACGTTGGCAGTAAATTGTATGTGATGGAATTTTTATTTTTCCTCCCTTTATTCTGCTTTTGTCTCTTGCCCTCCCTCCCCTCCTATATATATATATATATATATAAATTTGTTGATGAAAGAAGCGGCAAGTTGGATTGTATTTTTTTATGTCATCCCAACTCAAATGAAAGTAAAGATAGAAGTTCTATGTTCAAGTTCTGATGTTTGCTCGATACCCCCTTCGAGGTATTATGACCCTTGAGCGTTTCTCTTTAGATACATAGTGCAAAAATTATATTATTTTTCTTTTCCTCATGAACTTAATGTTTAATTTTCGTAATTTCGTTAATGTTTGAGAAATAATATAAAATCATTCATGTGTATAAGCTTTTGGAATAATTGGTTTGGGAAAACACATTTCATCTAGAGAAGGGGTATTTACTCCGATCTAGAGTTCATTCACTGTGTATTTTTAAGCGAAAACACACTTCTCTTTAAGTACCAGTCCTGCATTATGCCCATGCTCACCTAAAGAATATAGACGGCAAGAATCGAATTCTAAATTACTTGGTTATGAGCTTCATTGTCTATTTAAGGGGTATTTACTATATTTTTCCTCTTGTTACATACCGTTTTATTACAAAAGAAAGATCACAATTTATTTTTACAACTTTAATATATTTCAAAAAGAATCAGACTATATTAAGACCAAAATATTGGAAACAATAAAGTGTATTATAAGTTTAACTGTATTTAAAATAAAGAACAATCAATATATAATTATAGTAGTTTCATTTATACTAAAAATGTATAAATGTTTTAAAAATATACGATCCACTTTAATACTCTCTCATTGTACTATCTTTTTCAAAATTACGAACATTACATAAAATGTTATAAATTAATTAATAAAAATTATAGATTCATTGAAGACATGAACTGGATAATAAAAACTACAAACTATAAAAGTCACAATTTTTTATTATTCAATTTATAACTTTTCTTACACAAACTTATAATTAAAAAGAAAAATTTTACATTTTCTTTTCCATGGAGTGCTGTAAAAACTGTGGTCTATTCTATGTATACACAAGGGATTTGGATTTCTTATGTGAAAAAATGATCATGTGGTCATGTTATTTGATCATAATTACTTATTTAAAAATTATATACTTTTCTCTATCTTATCTCATCATTAATGAGTGGTTGTGATCAAATAATATGATCATTTTTTCACCTAAGAGAATCCATTTACACATACACAACTACCCAAGGACTTTTGACCAGGTAAAAAATAAAGATTACAGTTACATGGAAATTATTCTTACGGTCGCAGTCTTGGGTGGGTAGCTAGCGGGTCAATGTGGAAGCTGCCATATATGACATAATTTTAATTATTTATCTCAAATTTCGCACTTTCTTTCACCCTTATTCTTTTGCTCCACATAAATATTTATTAATATTAAAAAATAATAAATAACATATGATAATAAATATTTTAAATAATAATTATTATTATTTCAGAAAATAACATTAAATTAATTCTATTAAATAATATTTTCATTTGTATTTTATCGTAATAGTTATTCTTACCTATTTGGTTATTATTTTTTTCTGTTTGTAAAAAAAAAATAGTCGTATGTAAATAATAACTTTAATAATATGATATTGTTACAAATCACCTAACATGCACCGAGGACCTTTTTTTTTTCTCAATTAAACGATGATTTCATCAACAAGAAAACTTAATAATTAAGATATATTTTTTTTTTATTTTTTTGTTTGCTTACCAAAAAAAAAGAGAGTTTTTTTTTTTTTTTTAGTAAATAATAATTAAGATAGTTTAGTTGATTGTAGCAAAAGCAGAAGCAGAAGCTATTTGGCGAGTGAAGAAGAAGGAAGTACAAGTAAAAGAGAATCCATTCGATTTCCATCGCATTCATTGGGTTTTGAGGATTGTAGCGAAGCGAAGCGATGTGGGTTGCGGTTATCTGTGGTCTCGTTGTCTACCAATTGTTCAGACGCTTCTTCTACGACGATGACATTTTAGATATTGAAGGATCTGATTCTTCTGCTCTTTTCACCGTCGCAGATAGGTCTTTTCCCCCATTTCCACTTTAGGGCACATTTCTCCTCACTTTTCTATAATTTCTGAGCTTTTAACCTAAGTGCACTTAAATTACCAGCTTCAGAATTTCTGTTCTGATATCTATTAATTTCTACTGTGACAATTTGATTTTCTTGCAGGCTTCAAAAGATTTATGGAGGAAATGTGTATGTGGGTCTTCGAATTCCCGATGCTGATTCTGGTTCTCGACAGAGCATTGATATGGTTCTTGTCACTGAAGAGTATTATCACTTCCCCCCAAACTTTTTTTTTCTTCTTCAATTTTTGCAAAGTATCTTCTATTATGTTACATGTTTTACTAATAATGGCAATTGTGGGGGAGATTAACAACAGAAACACATTGGTTCATGCTTGCATAACCTGCATATTTGTTTGTTTCTCTTGCAGTTTTTCTTGTCTTGTTTGATTAAATGCATAAAGGGCACCATTTACTTACTGATACGTCACAAATAATCAAATTGTTATTTTATTTTTTATTTTCATTTCAATTTAATATTGCAGAGAGCTAGTGGTTATATCTGTGAAGAACTTCTCAGGAATTTTAACAGTTAGTGGCGACGGTAGTTGGGTCTGTGAAAAGCCAGACAGACATAAAAGAGAGCGTCACCCTGATCCTGTAAGGAACCTCTTAAATGTCTTTGTTGTTATAAATGCAGAAATCTTTCTTGCCAGAATGCTGTTTTATAAGATGGCATGAATTAGAAACTACTTCCGGATGTTTATTAAATAAATTGAACAGTGAAATGGGTTTCTTTTTTGTTGATATTTTGTTATCTAGGCTGCATTATATGTTTAGGGTTGATTGCCTAATTAGTAATTCTTCATTAACTGTTGTCTCAACTTTTATATAGGTGGCAGAAGCAAGAAAGCAAGCTTCTATCCTTGAATCATATCTTCAACAAAGAGGAGTTATTCTACCTGAAGGATACATATCTTGTAAAGTTATACTTCCAAATCCTAAATTATGGTATGATTTTGAATCTCCTGGTAATAACACAACTGACTATAACTAGTGTATCATTTTTTTCCTAATCTTTTAGAGGCTCATTTCAAGGGGACAAATTATTCTTACCTTTGCAAAGCAATTTTAGTTAAAAGCATTCTTTAACACAAAGAAATGTGTAGAAAATTTCTACTACTTATCATGAGTAGAAAATAACGGCACAAAGAAAGGAGTTGAAAATAACGGCACAAAGAAATGAGTTGAAAATATGACAATGATATGATAATATGAAGCTTGGTTCGCTGTAATATGACTTGGCCTTTATTTGTGATTTTCAATACACTTGAGTCTGATGATATTGAACTAGGAGGACATGGGTAAATGTTTCTTCTAAATGATAAATTTGAGATATTAAGTGAAAAAACAATCATGATAAGAAGCCACATAGCTAGAAGAACATGATAGTGATATTATGGTGAACATGGACCATGATGATAAGCTCCTTGCGATTTATTTTAGCTTTGTTTATTTCGTAAGTTTTTGTTGTTGTTAATGTGATATTATGTTCATATTAGACATCATTAATTCCTTCAAAATTTCTTATTACTTAAATTATATGACTTTTGAAGGATAATGTTTAAAACCTTCGGTTCATATCTATACTCTGAATTTATATGTTTTCTAGTGATTGTGTGCAAAGGTTTAATGTTTCTCCCTGGAGATAAAATGTACACAAATTCATACTACCATGTGTGCAGGAGAGAGACAGAGATAATTTATATAATGGAAACTTTGGACAATAACTGGGATCCCATTGTGCCTTAGTATTGCCAAAAGATTTGTGATACTTAATTGCTATGAAGAGATTGCTTGCAATTTGCACTATTTGATGTAAAGTTTTTCCTGCACAATATAAGGTTTTCAAATTTGCCAAATTTGGCTTCATATGTTGACTCCTATTCATAATTTCGTATGTTTCATGTATTCTATTTTTGATATAGTTCTTTGCAAAAAATGAAGAAACCAAAACTTCGTATTTTCTAGTTAAAGAAGTGTATTGGTTGGAAATGTGTTATAGAGATTGTAAGTGTCAGTTCAATCACTTGACCAGCAGTATTTATGGCAGGAAAAGAAAAAAGTATCTGATTATGTGGTTTTACTCTCGTCAAAAGCAACTGATAATTTTTGCTTTTTTAACTTTGTTTTGTAATGTACGTTAAAGTTAATCTCTTTCTTTGTATTTGCAGCACCATTCCTGCTGGTGGTTTTCCATCTGAAGTTATTACCCATGAAGAATGGGTGAAACTGAAGCCAGGAACAAAGAGTACGCTTTCTAGTTGGGTAAAGAGTGCCTTTCGTGGCGGAAAGAAGGATATGCAAGAATCTATTCATCAGAATCTTGATTTTGTTCTGAGCACAGCTCCAAGATGGGATAGGTTAGTTACCATTTGTATTTGATGAGTCACTGTTAATATTTCTAGTATTTTATTCTTTTAGTAAATTTCTTGTAAATGGATTCTGTTGATGATGCCTTTCAAAACTTTGGCTTAGGGAAGTAAATATGTCTAGCCATTTTATGCTGGCTTGTTAAAAGCTTGGTTTGGCTTTGCCTGATATTTGTCAAAAACCAATTCAACCTCAAAGCTCTATTGGGAGAAAGTTCAGTAATGGTTTTGATTTATTTGTGACAGAATAATACACCACTCATGCAAAGGCTTTATCTCTTTAACTTGTACTTTTTTTTTTTTTTTTTTTAAATTAAGATAGTTATGAAATGACTAAATGAGTGTTTTCATCTAATTTACTTATATAATTGTACTTCTTTTTGGCGACATTACTGATTCAATGCATTCTTTTTGGATGATTTAATACACTAATATAAGTTGCTTTGGCCCCTACATAAACCATTAGGGATTTTGGTGCAGCCGAGGAAACTCTTCTTAATCAGAATCTGCTTTTCTGATCTGAGATTTTGTTTAATTGTTAACTAAAGGGGCTTACAAATCAGATGTTCATGCCTGCAGATTAGTGTGCTCTTGGAGCATTGTTGGCATCATTTAATATTACCAAATCATACTTTTTCACTTTCAAAATAAATACTTTTTGCGTACAGGTTGGAACTGAAAGGCAACAAATACGTATTGGGGGAGTTCCTGGAATTTAAGGGCAAGGAAGAAGATATTCAGGCTTTAAGAAATATTAGAAGATCAAAAGTCGGTCATATGATAATCCAAAAGACAAGCATGTTTGGACTAGGTAATCTTCTCGGAGTAAATTATGTGTTTGCTTTCCAATTGTATTCGGCTGTCTTAACAGTAATTATAATATCCTCTATCGCCAAAAATTAGTTATAATAATATCTTGCTTTAAGTGAACAGATAGATGAATCAATATCAAGAATTGTGGATGAAATCATCGTGGGAGGGGAGAGAGAAGTCACTTCCCCACTCAATGTTAACATTCTAACATTGACTCTTATACATTAGTTGATATTTGGAAATCAGGAAAATATGTATTGTTATCTACTCATCACTGATTATTAATGCTCAGATTTATTTAATTAAGAAATTGATATAACAACCTGTGACTCAAATACTCTTCGATAAAACTATTATTTCAACTGATAATTTACCTGTCTCTGATGGAGGGAAAAGTATTCAAGAAAGGAAGCTTTCTATAGTTGCAAAGTTATGCTCTATATTTTGTGGTTTCTTCTATTAATTTGGGATTGTTTGCAGCTCCTTCTAGGCTTCAAGTTTTATACGCCTTGCGTGACTACAGAACTGAAGGGGCATCAGCTCCAGAGTGTAAGGAAGTAACTGTAAGATCAAGTACTGAGATAATCTTTCAGCCCGACAATGCTTCTAAAGTCCGAAAGTTTAAGCTCTCTTCAGTGGCCTCCATGTCTCTTAGCGCATGAAGTTGCCCAAACTAAAGAAAGGTATTTTAGGGCTGCCTTTTGCAGATCCCATCCATCACTCGACTTTTTGGTATCTTCAAGGATGTATTTTATTCTTTAAGCTGCATGAATGGGATATATATATATATACATTACTAGCCTTACAAAATATCAAAACAGTCAAATGTCTGCTTCCTCGACATAAAGTCACTACTGCGTGCTTGTATTATGTATATATATCAAGATAATTAACAGCTTTATTTACATGTTAGGTTCATCTTTAACATCATGCTTTAGATATCCAATTTAGTGAGTGATTCTGCATGAGATTTTTTTTAAATTCTATTATGATGCAAAAAGATTATTGGGATAACGTATTGAATGTCCCATGGTATTGAAGATTGATGACCACTCTTCCCTCAAACGACCTTACCAATCATGCAGCAACAAGTCTTGATCGAATAATACATTAATAACCGTTGTTGCTGACAAGGCCTACCACCTCTTCTAGTACTTAAAGTAGTCACTACTCGTACTATGTTGCTCATGGTGGCAACAGTTCTCACTCTCTGCCAATGCTCACGGTAATGATTACTGATAGCTGCATAACGCTAATCATGAAGCAACATTCAAGGTACTAGAATTCCCATTTCGTCATGTAGTTGAAGGAAATGGCTCTTACTAGCTTTCTCTAGCGGGAATGAAAGTGCTACCTTCTTTCATTGCTTAGGGCGGCTAAAAGCATCTACACTAAATTACTAATAATAAATAAAAATGATAAAATAATAAAAAATAGAGAACCTAACCTTCTACGGTAGATGTGCTAGGGTGTCTCGTAAGTATACATGGGTTTTATAATTCTCATTTAACATGAGAATTACAATTCTACACACCCTTCGATTTCCGTGCTGACATAGGTCTTACATATAATTTTTTCTAACACATGGGTCCCATATGTTTTTTATCTCTATAACATGAGATTTCAATTCTCCTTCAACATGAGAATTATAAAACTCAAGTATACATATAAGAAGTAAAATAATAATTACAATAAATTATAGATCAATATTATTAAATTTGACTCAGTTATTGATCCGGTTGAGGTGTTAGGTCACTGGTTCAATCGCATGATTTGTATATGAAAATCTATAATATATATTAAAAAAATTATAAATATACTCAAATACATGTAAAAAAATAATACTAATTCCAAATATTCTAATATGAAAAACAATAAATCACATATTATTATTCAACAAAAGATCAAACAAACATATAACGTTTGTGATATTGGAGCTTCAGGTTCAGTAGAAGACATCTCTAATTATAAATCAAATCAAAATTCTCTACGTATTGTATAACTAAAAAAATATTAGTGTTGTAGGTATATAACTTATATAAGTCAATAAATAACAGATCACTTAAATATTTTAAGAAAACAAATCATTTATATGTGAGAGTGAAAAAAAAGCATCAATTGATGATAACAAACCATTTTTTTTCTTTTTTATAAATTGGATTAGGTCACCAATTTTTATCAAAACCGATCGAGTTTTACCGGTTTTAATACTTGACCAAGTAGGTGCTTGGATCGGTTTACCAATTCACGGGGATCGGTCTGGGTTTTTTTAACACTACTATAGATTATATCAGTCAAAGCTCAACCGAAAAATAAATGAATATTGATCAGAATGAGGGAATTTAATGTACAAAATTGAGCTACAAGACACAATTCTTTGAGTGGGGGGTCTCACCGCACTTTAAAAACGAAAAAAAAAATTATGTCTCCCATTCCCATCCATCCAAAGATTATAAAATACGAATTGGGTCAAAGCGGCTGAAAAATTAATTATTTAGAAACAGAGAAATATTTCTGCAGTTACTACATATAAGTTATTTGCATTTACTTCCAAAAAGATCTTCGTTTTGGTGTTGAAATATTAAAAAATTAATTATAAAAACTATTATAATCCTGAAATAAATTAAAATTACAAAAATATTTTGATTTTTGTCTTAAAATGATGTCGTTTTGGGTTCAATAGAAATAATTATCTGCGCAAAAAAAACAAACCCATTTATAAACGGTTCCTTTTCTTTGCATATTGAATCAAAGTGGATCAATTGAAGAATCAATACGATTTGTGATTTTTTTTTTTTTGCCTTCTTTATTGGGTCAAAATCAATACAAATAGTCTTACCTAACAGATAACAAAAACTTTTGACTTTCTATCAAAAGGTAGGTAATTATCAACAGGTTATGGAAGGAAGATTTTACTAACTAACTTTACTTTTGAGTAAACTATACCACTCGATTATCTCCGTTGCTTTTTAATTAGTACAAGGAGGATATTATTGCATAAACAAATTGTCTAAGGACAACCTTGTTAAGAGTTTGTGAAGTTGGACTTTGAGTTTTGTCTCGTTTTTCTATTCAGAATCTCTTCACTTCCGAACATAAATGGGTCATTTTCACCATTCCATCTGGTGTTTTAGTCTATACACAAACAACTAATCGTTTATAATATTCACTCTTTTGTTCATTCTTTTAAGCTTCAACCGAAGTCTCCATTTCGTTCAATTATTTTTTTTACTTGACTCTCTTTTTGTAAAAGGTTATTTTCTGTAGTAAAAGATGAGATAGATACCACTAAGCACATATATCAACTGACACGAATTTGATCCAGCTTAGAGAGTTTTGCTGTTTTGTGAAGAAATTTCAAAAAAATAAAATAAAAAAAAAGATGAGACAGACAAAAAAAAAAATGGATTGCACGCATCTTCTTCATCATGACTTAATTCCAACCATTCACCTTCAAATTTTTAACAAATATAACGAAAGCATTTTATACAAGTAAGTAGATGAACATCATATAGCCTTTAGTCTGTAATATTAATATGCAATCTCCACGTTGTACAGTTCATTTTTTATGCGATGTGAGCTTCTATTATGTTTGAATCCAAAATCAATACATCACCAAATAAAACATATGTTATTGCTGGGATAACCCTCAAATGTCGTGATCTTTCATGGGACTGTCGACCATGACTGTTTAGAATGTTGACTACAAATAAACAGAAAATAGAAAGGGTTAAAAATGATAGTGCCATGCATGCTTCAAATAATAAATAAGCATATAATAAAAATAATAAATGAAAATGGAGATAGAAAATGCTAAGCACACTTACTCTATGAAATCTTTCCAATAAGCATCACTTGCTTCCTCATCCATGAAATCTTCCCACGTTTCAAAGGTGGAGGAAGAAGGGTAAGAGCATTCCTTTGGGTTTACCATGTTTTCTTCTCGTTCAGGTGAGGCTGAAACCAGTGTTGGAAGCGAATTTGATGGCGTGGGAGCAGCATTTGTTGAACCATGTTTTTCATCAATCTTTTGTGATTCCCTGCAACTACTATTTCTGCCTCCATTCAACTGTTGATACCTTCCTTCTGGCTGCTGAGGGGCTTCAAAGTTTTGGAAATTGGGTTGAATTTGAGAAGAGAATCCTGTTGAACCATTATACTGCAGGTTTTGGAGGTTAGAGTGACTCAATCCTAAAACATCATTTACCAAACCGTTTGGCAGTGAGTAATTAGATGATCCAAAAGGATTGAGTGGATATTCTAAGTTTGAGGCAGGATTGGTAACCATGACTTGAAGCATGTTCTGCAGCAAGTTGAGTTTGGCTAGTTGTGTGGCATCTGAGTGTAACCTTAAAGCATTTATGTCACAAGGGTTTGTTGTGAAACTGTTGACAATGTTTGCAGCAGCCAATATCTGTTGTAGATTGCTAAGAAGGTTTAGGTGATCTGATCTTGGACGGTGGGTCATTGGGTCTAACCCCATTTGCAGAAGCTTCTTCTTTAAATGTGTGTTCCATAAATTCTTAATTTCATTATCAGTCCTCCCTGGTAAATGAGCTGCTATAGCTGCCCACCTAATAATGGAACAAATAAAACATATTCATATCATCATCACTTTATTTGTATTAAATTTAATTTCATTCTAAGCATTGCTTTAGGCATATCAATATGGAAAACTACTAAATCATCCAAGAATTTGAAATATGGCTTGCAACTATAAGTAAGCTTTTAATTAATCTTCAATTACTAGTTAATTTTTTTGTAGATTATCATAATGAAATCAAATGAATATAATAAGCTTTGAGGGGATTAGTACTTATTTCCAAGAACTGCATGCAAATTGATGACAAGTTGCTCTTCTTCATCAGAGAATTTTCCTCGTTTGATATCAGGCCTCAGATAATTAGTCCACCTTAGCCTGCAACTCTTTCCACACCTGTTCAATCCTGCAAGCTTTGGAAGAGCTCTCCAACTCCCATGGCCGTGTTTCTCAATGTAATCCACTAATATTTTGTCCTCTTCTGGGCTCCAAGGTCCTTTCTTCAAACCACTTTCATCATTACTAGGTGTTCTCATCCTCACTGCACGTATTGGAAACAGTATATATATTATACTAATTAGTTTGGTTCATGGAGTAGTTTCCATGCATGACCAAGAAAGAAAGAGATCAGCAGAAGAATCCAAACCTTGAACTGTTGTGAAGTGGAGGATAAAGGTATAGTATTTACGTGGAAGTTGAACAATTACTAGAGAAGTACTTGTTATATATAGGGTGGGTGATGTTTGGAAAATATATTAGTGTTTATTCTGACTTGTATATCATGTTGGGATAGCAAAATTCCAAGTTTGTCCCGTATATATCATTCGCTCAGTCATATAGAGACCTTGAAGGGCATTGCCAGACACTCCTCAAATATATGAATTTCTAATTTCGATGGATAATAATACAAACATAATCAATGGCACTCATTGTCAATATTGAACAGTCCACGGAAATATTTTCCTTTGAAAAACCATATCTAGTTTTTTTCTCATTCTAAAAAAAATAGAAAATACCCTCAATTTCAACGAACTGTTTACAGAAATATTTTCTTTTAGAAAACCATATCTAGTTTTTTTTCTGTCATTCTAAAAAACATATGATGATATCTTCAAATTGTAGTGCTGTAAAGCGAAATGAAGCATATAAATTTTCATTTCTATCCATCTTTATGTATTAACTTTAAGTACTTTTTCTTAAGAGTGAATTGATTAGTTATGATACTTTTTATTTATTTAAATGTCATATATCTTTGATTTAACGGTTTAGATATTATCCTTTTCTATTCTTGAATAACAAAAGGATATAGTTCTATTGGGAAGAGAAAGACACAATTTTTTTTTAAATATAACTAGTGAAGTCCATAATCAATCATGATGGAGTCCTTTTAAAGGATTCAAATTCTTAATTTAAACACAATTTCCTTCTTTTAGAATGATGTATTTTTTATTATGTATTTTCTCCATATGAATGTCCTATATGTCTTTTTTTTAAACGATTCTCTCTCTTTTTAAGTTTTAATATTTTTATCTATTTTTAATTTTTTTTATCTTACAGACATTTTCTAATATAAATCGATTTCATAAAAAATTATAAAAATTAAATTAAATTTGATAAATAAAAACATAAATTTTTTGTTTTGAATAGTTGTATATTTATGACATGGAGAATGTGTTTAGGATAATATATCACATGCAAATATGTCTCAACTATACGTAAGTTTCCTCAATAGCTTCTCTGATAAAATTTATTTTCCTTGCTAATTTGACTTTATTTAATTTGTGGCCTAAATTTTCCATTGACGTACGAATATATATGCAATGCAAGTCGCAAGACTGTGAGAGTAGAGTCAATGTTAACTCTAGTAATGATGTTTTATATATAGAGAAAATATGTAGATCAAATTAAGAAATTAAAAGAGTAAATGGATGGATTGTTATTTGTTACATGATGAAATTTTCAAGCGGTGCTAGGCAGAGAACGGTGTACATGACCTTCACCATGTCGAAAAAGAACAAGTCGCATGCGTATATATATATATATATATATATATATATATATATATATAGGGAAAAGTGTCTATACATTTAAATTACACAACTTACATCCTTTCACTCTCACAAAGAGGTGGGACCCACAACTTTATTTTTTTTGTCAACTCTCTCTCCTCCTTTATCTATCTCTTTCTCTCTCTTAAAATGACACAACTTTACATCCTTCAAAATTATACACACTTTTCCCATATATATAACCATTGTCATTTTCTCCGTACTTTACCCCTAAAATGGCAAATATGAATGGCAAAGGCAAAGAAAAGAGGGAACACATCAGAAACAGCAACGAACTTGAACTACCACCAAGGGTAGGTTTCCACGTGGCAACCATTTAGTGAGTGTGAAGCTCACTTTTCGTGACCCATTTGGAGAAGAAACTTCACTTTGAAAGCATCGAATATTTATAACATTGTTTCAACTTTTGAACCTATTTAATTTATCTTTCGATAGTCATGCATATCAACGCACGCAAAACTATATAAACACTCCACTAGTGGGACCCCAGATCCCCAACAAAGCCCTATAAGACATTCCCAACGAATCCATATATATAAGAACAGTATTTACACAATATGTTTTGTTCCAGTTGGGTGTGCTTTGATGTCTTTTTCCTGGTAGCTTTAATTATTCATGGATACTGAACAAATTAACATGGTAACGATGTTATTGTTGAGATGTTTCTCATTCAATATTTGGTGGCTAAGTATACATAACACTTATTGATGCTTTACTTAATGTCTAAACAACCACCCCAATAAATACATCAACCTCATTCATGAAGATTTGGAAAGAAGATGAAAGGTTTGCCCTATCTTTATAATGAGATGGAAATCATTTGTGTAAGTTTAGCTAATTTGTGTATTCCTCTTAACAAAAGTTTGAGAGAGTAACTTTTTCATAGAAGAATCTTGTATACCACCATTGTTAGGTAAAGTTTGAGTATATACCTCTAGTGCTTACTAGGGAAGAACTGCTGTAATCCTATTATTTATAGTGGAAGTTTTCTAGATCAGATCCCGTGGTTTTCACTCCTGTGTCTTAGAGGACGTTTTTCATATTAAAAATGTTGTGTGTTTCTCTCTTTGTCTCCATCTTTTTTGTTTCTACGATTTTTGTTTTTCTACAAACAGGGTCGAGTTGGAGTGCTCCACTTGAAGACCTGTGTTTGCTTCTGCACTATTTGAGGGACGACGGCTGAATACTTGTAAACTTCATATATATATTTTTTTATTTCTCCATATGTTCATCAATTACTCAATTAATCGAGTGACCCGATAGGATCACAAGGGCCTTTTTTTTAACACAATTGCGTACGTATGACTTAAACTCAAGATCTCTTATTAAGATGTAACAACTCCCATAAATTAATCTACTTCCTTGGTGGTAGCTACATAGTGTAAAGAACCATTCAAACCCAAATTCTTAAGTGTTGGGTGAGGACATTTTTAGTAGTTTATATTATTCTCTAAAACACTCCTTCACGCAAGAAATGTGAATATTACACAAGCCCAATTTTTTGTTTAACTTGTGCTTATTTTAATTCCACTAGAAAGTGGGAGCGATGAGTATCAAACTTGTGACTTTGTGATCACTGAAGCTTTGATACCATGTAAATAATTATTTCAACCCAAAATCTTTAAAGTATTGGGTGGAAACCTTTTTAATGATTTATATTATTCTCTAACCTATAATATTTTAAATCAAAGTTCTGTATGGCTGCATATAAAAAAATAGTTACTTGAACATGATTTATGGATATTAATAAATTAATTAATAACATAGGGGTAAATTATAACCCCAAACATATTTTAAATATATGCCGTGCGCTGTCTAAAATTTTCCATATACATGGAAACATTGTCAATAAGAGACTGCAAAATCAATAACTAAAAGTGCCATGTGTTTGATAAAATCTACATATATTATTAAGAATACCAAATGGTAGATGCAGCAGCCTTTTATTCAATCTTATTAGGTAGTACAAGTGAAAAATGATTGCGTATGTGCATCCCACCACCATATTTGAAAGCATATAATCATGACATCTAGTAAATGATCTGACCCCAAATCAATTGAAAAAGAAATATATATATATATATATATATATATATATATATATATATATTCTTACATCTATATCAAAATAAAAAGTCTTACACCAAATCTTGATAGTTAATTTCCTTGCATAACGGCTTATATATGAAAAGAGATCATTTGACTCCAGAGTAAGACTTATAAGTCTTACTCCTCATCTCAGCCCTTGATTTTCGTCTATCCAACGATTATAGTTTAGGAAGTCATATTAATTAATTAATTATTAATTACATTACAAATGACAACCGTTATTTTCGTCTATCAACGGCTAAGATGAGGAGTGAGACTTAAAAGTCTTACTCTGGAGTCAAAAGAATCATCCCCTATATATATGTGTATATATATATATATATATGGAAAGAGATCATTTATCTCAGCCCTTGATTTCCGTATATATATATATATATATATATATATATATATATATATATATATATATATATATATATATATATATATAAGTAAGGATCATTTTATATCGGTGTAAGTTATATTCTCAATCTTGATCGTTGATCTTATTTATATTTAACGGTTCTGATTAAAAAATTATAATTATAAAGACTATAATAACTCTGGAATAAATTAAGATTACAAAAACACTATGATTTCTGCCCAAAACGACGTCGTGTTGGGCTTACTGCAGGTAACTTATCTGCAGTAACTGATGAAAAAGCGAACCCATACACACACACACATATATATATATATAAGGTTCATTTTTTTTACAGTCAATGTAGATAAGTTATTTACATTGAGCCCAAAATGACGTCATTTTGGGACAGAAATCAAGATATTTTTATAATTATAATTTATTTCATGGTTATAATAGTCTTCCTTATTATAATTTTTTAATTTTTTAACTCAAAACGATATTGTTTTGAGAATAAATATAAATAACTTATCTACATTTATTGTACAAATATTTAAGCCATATATATTTTCCAGGAAATCATAAAGTACTATATATTTCTCTTGTCTAATCCGTATCTTAATCAGTTCTAATTGAAGAACCACTTTAGGTGAGAGTAAGAATAACTTGAAGGAAGTCCTATATCATCTTCAATTACAACTCCTTATATAGACGAGTGAATATTTAGTGATCCCGGCACATGTGTGCCGGGAAGAGAGAGTCAGAAAGAAATAGAAGAGAGAGGGGAAGAAACAAGGGGACCATCCAATATTTTTTCCATATACACATATATGCAAGTCTAATTCTTAAAGACACACGCACACACTATCAAATAGAATGCTTACATTCATATGCATAGCTTAGCGATAGTACATGCATATCATAATAATAATAATAAGGGTGTTATTAATCTGATATTAAAGTAGACAAGTTGTATAAGTCATTAGGGTTAACCTAGTGGTGAGGGGTATGAGTAATT